GCACTCGGAAGTGAGATGAAGGCCGTCCCGTCTAGTCTTCGTGCCGAGCAAGGATTGGATCAACGAACAGGCATCAAAATTTCTCACAAGCACATAGTACCCACAATTCACTTCCCGCTTCTACTAATGTGGACATTCATACGCGCATAACTCCGGACACAATGACCTTGCATTTTAAATTTAGCTCGGATGGAATGCCCGAGTTCGACATATGTTTAATTGTGTCGTAAACAGTTGCAGTTTCCGCATATTGGTCCTACATGAACTAGAACACCTCTGCCTGTACATTGGTTCGGATTATTGACAACTGAAGTCATTTGCTCAATATCACTCCGGGAAAGAAAGACACCGTCGGCACCTTTTTTTCAATCGCCTCCGCTGTGCCGCAGAATCGAGCCCTAGCCACCTCACTTTACTATATGGCGCACCTGACTGAAGAGACTCGCTCCTATTGGCTGCCTCATTCCTCTTCTCTTTTTCTTGTGGACGCGAACATTTGCTCCCCTTTCCTTGTGCGACGTCTTCTAAGTCCCTGAATTCTACGTCGTTCTCCCAAGATTGGACTGTGGCCTGTGCCAAACCGCTTCCAGTCTTCTAATTCTTCCCTCGTTTCCTAAAATCACATTTGAGCAGTCGCCTCTGCCTCCGTACACCGGGACCAGGATTTTGCTCCACTCCTCCTCTCCTAATCCACAAGGAGAGTGGCCAATACAGCTGCAAAAAGTAGAGCCACCCGCCTCCTCCGCAAGCCCAAGAATGCCCTTGCGCCGAACCCACCCACCGGACGGCACGCGCAGGCCCATGCCCCCAACACCCGCTCGGTACCACAGCAAGATTCCACGCCCATTGCCTTTCACTTCGCGCAGCTCCTCGAAAGACGTCCGCACGCGGCGAGTACCTGCGAGCGACTGATACCTGCGAGCGAAGATAAATGAAGTGTTTAAGTTGTTGCAATGAATTGAAACCTTTGAAATAATAATGCATCAGTTTGAAATAATGTACATGTAATGTTACACATGAAAATATTAATACATACGCGTATGTGAATATATATGCGAATATATATTATGAAATAATGTACATGTACAGTTGTTCAGAATTTAGCACGTGGTGGTGGTTACTTCACGCAACATTAAAATAAGTTTGTGTACTCACACACGGCAAACTGTACATGTGATGTGAGTCATATAGATACGAAAACACCGTGTAACAGTATAAAAATTGAAGTGCACAAGTAATTGACTGAAGTGGTTACCGTTAAGTGGTGTAACTTCATAGAGCCATCAAGAGAGTGCAGTCTGAAAGGCACGAGGCTCAACTCGCTCGATATAGTTCGGTGCGAGGTCCATCCCGCAACTGACTGCCGTGAAGCGGTGAGGGCGTCGTTGCTTGGCGCCACAACTGTCGTAGGAATGGTCGTTTACAATTTTTCAAAAAATTGAGTACTTTTCGCGAAATTTTTCATGAAAGTACGGGCGAGAAAGAACTTGCTATTTTCGCCCCATTAGCTTCCTGTGTATTCTTTTAGTAATTAGCATTCGACATTTTTTATCAATGTGCCGTTACCAACAGTGTTTGTGTTATTATTGTTAATATTATTACTCATTAAAGTAGTTGAATTGATATTACTAATTGATTGCATGTATCTACGAATTGATACAAATTTTATGATAATTTTTTTACAGTCCGAGACGCAGGAGAGAGCGAAGACAAAATCGAAGTCTGAAGTGACAGCAAATATTGAAGTAAAGACATCGAAGGAAGAAATTTCAAAGGAGAAAATCGAAGAACGATCTGACAAGAAAGAAAAAGAAGAAAGAAAACGTAGACTAAAAATGCGAATGCGGTCAAGGTACAAGAGGCGAATGAACGAAGAAAGCAGCTACGAAAAGATAGAAGCGAAGCCTCGAGTGGCCGTGAAGTTGTACGACGGGCGAGATTCGTGGCCTCTGGAAATATCCAAGTGGCACTTGTCCGACCACGGCCAACTTTTGCTCAGCTGCTTGCTGCCAACGCAGACTAAACGCCCGGAAGCAGAGAGACCCCGTGAGGTAGATTTTTTAAGTCGTATATCAATGGAGGTGATGCGGTGGACCCCAGCATATTTTGAACGATGAATTTTGTTTACGAAAAACGTACTTCTTTGCATATGACATCTATTATTACAACTTCAAAACATTTTTATTATGTCATATCGAATGCTACATTCATTAACGACTAAAATATGATAGAGTAGAAAATATTACAGACACATTGGATTGCAATACATGATTCAGTTTAACTATTTCATTTTAAAAAACACATTCAGTACTTAACAGTTTCTTGCAAAACCTTTCATATTGCCATATCATCTCATCTTTCGTCTTTCAATTATTTTGACAGAACAATTCAAACGCGCTTCCCCGTACGCAATAACGTTTTAAAAACTCCAACGTTATCTTACAGCCTGCTATTAAATACAAAAGTTAGGTGCAAATTGTACTTTAATGTTTGTTTAAAGTAAGGTACAAATTGTTACTTTCTGAATGTTGAATTGAGAATCAATTAATCGAAACGCAAATTGCTCATGGGTGCGGAAAATTGAGTTTGATATGAAATCGTGTAGTTTTAAATATGTTCTACACGTTTTTGCTTTCAAAACGCACTTAACTAAATGTGTTAAAATGCGTTTTAAAGAAACCTGAAAGCAGCAACGCGCAAAACTTATTAAAAACTACAATATTTCATATCAAACTCAATTTTTCCAACCATTGGACAATATGCGTTTGATTAGTTGCTTCTCAATTAAGTCTTCAAAAAGGGATGTGACCATTTGTGCTTCGGCGGAAATGACTTCAAATGTATTAAATATACGTCCCTACCACATTTCAAAAACTGAAATAGTATTTTTTTCGTTAGAAAGTAGTAATATCGCCGATAAAAAACAAGTAAACGAGTCTCTTAGTATATCTCAACGCCATCTTAACTACATCTCACCTTTTCGATTGTTAAGGCCGGCGGACAATTAAGTCCAGAACTGTCGCCGACCATTAATAGTGGTTGTATTATATATATTTATAGTAGTCTGATTACGTTTACTCGTTATAACAATTTATATCACGAAAATATTTTGACAACGAGTTTCAAAAAATATATGAAATCTATGTAAGAAATATTTGCTAAATACATGTAGCATTATTTTTTAAATAAATATTTTTACTTCAATTATATTGCGATTTATTCTGGGGTCCGTCGTTGACCGCCACCGGTGTGCTCTGGGTTCGACATTGTTTGATTGGCAGGTGTGTTCTGATTTACCTAAGCACAAATGTCCTCTCTTTCTAAGAATAAACTTCCAATTCTGTCTTTTCGGCAAGTGTAGGATTCATCACATAAAACCAAGTACATTTCTCTCTGGCTTCTTGAAATTATGTCTCTAACTAAACTCGATATAATTTTAATCAACTGAGACGGAATAGCTGAAAAGCTACATCACTTTCTTAAACATAGGGGAGACGGGAGTTTGTTGGCATAAGCGGCTGTTAGGCAGTTAGGTGTCTTTATGTGACCTTGTAGGTTCCATACACCCTAGCTTTGTGTTACGTGTCCTTCACAATCTAAGAAGCGACGACCACAGAAACCGCAGTACGATGGTAGAACCGTGATCACACATGTGAGAGCTGGGAGAGTAATATTTTCGTTGTTAATGATTTTCTTCTCTAATAGGGCGAAACTGCAATATTGCTTCTCCCTTGTTTTCAGCTGAAACCTTGAACCATGTTCTTCAATTTTTATGGATAAGTTTTCTCTTATGAGTTCCCCTGTAACCTCTAAGGCCATCTTTAATCAAATACCGTTTGGAGCTGGATGACAGTTTTTAATTGGGGTTGGTTGGCACCAGTCGGTTGGTGTTTGTATTTTGATTTTCTTGTGTGTTTTCGAAATGGAGAAGGGAATGCGAGGTTTACCGTAACCTCCTCCGCAGGTGTTATTTCAACACAGTAATATATACTCCAAAGAAATATTTAATAGAACGTTTGCAAATGATTTATTGAACGTTTGCAACAGTAAACTTCTTTGTTACGGGTGAGAAACTATTATGTAGCTGAATCATAACAACTATTATGCAACGATGTGCACCCATCTACTAAGAGAATTAATTATATAATGGGAGTAGAGAAATAAGGTTTTGAAACTTTAGAAACACAGTTACAAGCATTACATCAGAAAACATTGCGAAAATGTTTATTAATCCCTTCCCTAATTGCCTGTTATAATGTATTCAATTAGAGACCTTGAGTGTAATACTCTTAAATAACAAGATTTATTGTTTATCACTGTAATACCCATTTTTGTTGCATTCATTTTTCAGCCATCTGAAACCGTTATACCTAAGAAAATCCAGAGTGATTGTCATCGCAAAGAAAATAGAAAGCATGGAGATCAAGATATAGTAACACTCTTCGAGCGATCTGCAATCAGCCGGTCTGTTTTCCAAACGCAACCATACTTTAGACCCAGGCACACAAACTCTGAGACTCTCATATGGTCTCCAATGCCAACACCTACGTTTACACCGACACCAGCCCGTACTCCCTTATTTTCGCCACCAATAACGCCCACAACTCCAGAAACATTTAGTACACCCCCTGCATCACCAAAATATTTGAATATATGTCTGATGCCAACGAAAGCAGAAATACTTCCGACGATTGAACTGCAATCGTTTTCGCCAAGAACCGCTTCACAAAAGGAAAGCTTTACCCAGACGTCTCCACTAACAAGTACGCTACAGATGGCTTCTTGTGTATCAGGATGTGCTAATGCAACAAAAACGCGCGAATTATTTCCGTCAATGGCACCAGCAACTATTACTCAATCGACGTCATCCGGAGAGTGGGCGATTACGTCCCCTGATATAGACCCGACGACCACCCCGAATTCGCTTCATTCAAGGTCATCGACACAGACAATGATGGAAATAGATATGCCATTCACGATGATACCAGATGTATCATCCACATCTCAAAGAATGCCAATGATGAGTGTGACAATGACGCCGATTGTAAAGCGGACACCTGATACGACTTCCGGGAGATCGACGACGTCAGCGACAAATATGATATCTTCACCGTTGCTGAAAAAGACAAATCCAATGGCAGATAACGTGTCGAATATAAAGCCAAACCAACTCATAGACACTCTACCACCCTTTACTCACAGGTGTACAAAGCCGATGCACGGACCGAAGATGATCACCACAATGTCATCTGCAGTGCAATGCGTGACATCGCCAGCCCCTACACAGAACAATGCTTATGTATCCTCGGCGCTAACGATAACGCCCGTGCCACCCCCGGCATCTGTACATGCGTCAGCGACGTGGGCACCGTCATCGATAACGCCCTCGGATTGTAACCAGTCTTTTGCGATAGCTTCAACCGAAACACAAACGCCGATTTTCCAAGCGAAGCAGATACCGCTCACGGCGCCAATGGAGTTCCCTGCAGACCCATCATGCATGTCGTCGCTCACATGTGGACAGCATTGTTTTAACAAAGGTAGAGTGACATTTCTCCCCTCAATTCGCATTCAATTATGACTTAAAGTCAGAACGTAACGTTTAATATCATGATGTCACATGTATAGATGTAATGAGTACGTATTGCGAAACATACGTTTTGGTATATATTGAATGTTGGGCCATTTAACATGATGTTTACGCATAAAAACGTTCGACGACTTCTGTTGAATCGGAGAAATCGGCGGGATAGAGTGACAGGGCAGCGAACAGGACAGCGACATAGGGAAGCGTCAGAAGCGGGCGAAGCTGCTTAATTGATAATAGTATTAAACAACAAACAATTAAGGATCGAAAAAATTCAGGAAATGTAAAAGAAAGTGTTTTTTCATCCGCGTGGGAGGGAATTAGTACTTACATTAGCTGTTTTTATTGAAATGTACTTTGAGATGGTGCATCGCAAAGACGTCATAGCCAATATTAGAACTGAGTACTGCAAAGTGAACAAAACACAAGGGTAAAAATATTCAAAATGAATGCCTCCCCGTTCATGAAGAATGAATTCAAGAGTATATACTCGTAAGTTTGCATTAATCCACACCATTTTTTCTAATATAAAAGAAAATATTCAATTTACGTTTTACAGGAAAGAGAAACAAACCATAGTGTTAATTGTGAAATCCTTAAATCAGCGAGTATGATTTATTAATTTTACGCCCCAAAACAATTAAAAAGTGTGTACGACGTACTACGGTGAGAAGTGTATTCGGTACATGTTTTCTTAATTCTAGTGTCAATACCCTAAACTATATAATTTGAATTCTGAATACAGAAATAAATGAAGGGTTTTGTCAAGAATTGTTGGCAAAATATTCGCTCCAATATAATAAAATATATTTTCAAACAAATTAGCTGCAGATTTTGTTTTTATTCATCATCATGTCCTTCGTGAAGGAATATTCTTCTGCCACGTCAACAAGGAGAACGATAATACACTGATAACAAAGTTACATTTGTTACAGAAGCAAAACAACTGGCCATATATTATTCGCTTACACGATCAGGGAAACTGGACAAAAATCCAAATCAATATAGGGGGTCAGTGACGCAGACGTTAGGGCACAATACTTGTTATAGTTTTTTTAGAATTATACAGTCCAAATGATAAATAATATATTAAATGGCATTGTTAAAATTAATATTAATTTACTTTTTGATGCTTCGTACAGTCTCTAATTGTATAGAATAAGTTATGCAGCAGAAACAATTTTACTTGAGACGTAAACTTGTTTTCTCAATTTGAATCGTTTAATGTCATCTGTCACAGCGTTATAGTCAATGATTTTATTTTACTTTTAGAAAACAATCTACTCATACGTATATTATAAGATTTTTTTTTCACTGTATTCTAAACCTTTTGTTTCAATTTCATATGAGTAAGTGGTTTTGGTTTTTTATTAATTTTGATTCGATTGTCTTCTTTTTAATTAGTGTGATCTGTATAGTCACATGGGTTGCTAAATCTAAACTGAAGGAGTACGACGAGAGTAAACGTTGAAAAGTAAAAATGGCCATTGTTGCTAGCGCAACGAAATGATGTCTAATTAAAATATAATCAGGCGTTGCAAAGCACAATTATTGTCTTCTATATATTATGCCTCAAAAAGGTCAATTTTACTTGTAAATTGTAATTATTTTGATATATTTGTAGTACATTATTATTTTTCATAATCGATACAAATAATACGGTTACGTTAGCTGGCCTCGTTGGACAGATGTCTGGGGGAAGTTCATCCAAGTGGGATCGAAGACTCTGAGGTTTGAAACCTGTGATGGACTTTATGGCGAACACTCCTAGTCCCTCATTTCTTGACTATCCCCCTTCACATAATACATTGCCCTGACTGGTATATATGAGATCTGAATGGAATCTGCGTCATAAATTGTAGAACTGGCTTCCAACCCGCAGACAATGAATTAAACGTGTCAAGATAAGCTCATGTGATTGCGAGTGACGTATATGACATGGTATACGACTATGACCCGGCATTTTCTTCCCGGAACACGGGAGATTCCTTTACTGGTTATTGTGCACAGGGGAGCGGGAGTTTTTCGGGAGTTCCTGGTAGACCCCGAAGGCGCCAGCAGAATGGCAGTCGGGAAAATTAAGCAAAACTGAAAAGATAGACCCGATTCAAAAAGCAGGGAGACTAACTAGTACGAGAAAGTGTGTGCCAATTCTGTAGAGCTACTTATTTATGTGTCAGCTATACTGACTTTTCTAAATATTTCTTTGTCGAAATATGACTTTCTTTGTCGAAATCCAATGAACTTTATTTCAAAGGTATTTAAGTCTAAGCCTAGAAACTATTATAAATATGATTTATTCCAAAAACTTACTGGACAATAGGATTTATTTATAATATTGAATAAATAAATCATTAATAAGTATCATATTGAGTTAAAAAATAATGTTTAAAAGTTTGAAGAATAGGGAGTCAATAAAATATTTACGAACAATAAGAAATTGTCTCTCCCTAGAAGCAGATACTGCCGGTGCTCCTACTGCAGCAGGCGCTTCTGTAGCTGCGTACGACACGACTAGCCACTTGGTTGGAAACCATCCGTGCAAACATCCACCAGTAGAAGCAGTCAGAAATGTAGCTGAAATGTACCACGCTACCTTGTCTCAGAAGAACACTCCAAATAATATGTCAAGATTGGATATTGCGCAACAAATTTTGAAGCGTCTGACTGTCGATATTCAAGCACAACACGCTCGTATATGTGACAGTACGTGCAAAAGCTGCCCTTTATCAGAAAATTCACAGCAACCCATCGACGCAGCATCGCATGTCCCGGAAGAGCCAGAAGAAACGAACACACAGCTCGGCTCGGTGTCTCTTATAATACAGAAGAATCAAGGAATTGTTAATCCGATAGCAGCAAGTTCAAATACACAAGAATCTCCAGAAATAAGCGTAGAAAGCAGTCAACCCGCGTCGACTGTTACCTGGAAATTCTGGCACCCGCAAAGTTCTTCGTGGTTCTCTTTGTCGCTTCCAGAAAAAAATGCGCATGAAATGTTGCAATCTGCAGAACCAGTTAAAAGGAATTTTGAGAATCTCTTGCAGTCCGCATTAAACGTTCGGAACCCATCCATAAACGCTGATCCGAAACTTACAGAAAAGGGTTTTTTCCCTAATTCCATGAGTTTAGCGCCAGAAATTTCGAATGAACAAGAACAAAACATTAATGAACAACTTAGAAATGAACCAGCTGATGTTGAATTGCATTTTGAAGACCCCCAAGATGCAGTAACGACTTTCCTGAACAAGGGAAATGATACGACTCTAAGTTCCGAAGAAATACCAGCAACAAACGTTCAATACCCTGAACGTACTAATGTTCCACAAATTCAGTCATCAGAAGGAAAACCACCACGACCGTCTCCAGTAGACGAATCCCAGTCATGTTCTGCATTTCCTGTCGACAACCCTTCAAACGATCACAGAGATCCAAATATCAAAATAGAAGAAGGAACGTCTCCAGAGGACAACGGTCTTCTAAATATGCACTTGACAGGTTCTGTTGTATGGCGTCTTTGGGAACCTAACAGTGGTTCTTGGGTTTCTCTCAATATTTCTAAAGGGAGTCCAGAGCAAGTGATTGAGTGTCAACAAGTACATATTCAAGACGCTAATCTAGAGACAGAAACAGGAAAATCAACTGAAGGACCAAAAGAAAATAGCACCCCAAACTCAAGCATTAACGAAAATACTGTCATACCAAAGGGTGAAAATATCTCGTCAACGAATCAGACACAGAAACTGGAAGCATCGTTGATGATCTTGAATCATTTTTCAAAAACTGAGACACAAACAGCACAACTAGATAATGGAATCGACTCTGAAAATAAAGAGTTATACTTAAGTAATTTTGTTATAAAGCCACTGACACCTAATCTGCAGTCAGGACAACAATCACCCGTCCTCACAAATGATATCTGGTCGGATAGTCCTACATCTCATCTAGAATCAACTGACGCGGAGACGTGGGGTGTATGGCCGACTTCATCCCTGGAATCGTTAAGTGTCAAAAAAACGCGAAGCATAAAATGCTCTTCTAGCCACCGCCGATGCCAAAAGTCATCGAACGCTGACACTCCAAGGAAAAACATTGCTGGCACAACAAGGCTACGCGGGGCTCAAAGCAACACAAGGGCGGACGCAACTGATGAACGAAATCTGCTGCGATATCCAAGTGGACCCAAAACGTCCCTAAGATCTGAATTAGCCATCAAGCGATGGTTGCAGAGAAGACAGGTGCCAAGTAGTGGCACCAAAACTTTCCTGAGATCTGAATTAGCCATCAAGCGATGCTTGCAGAGAAGGCAGGTGCCAAGTATGAACGCACGAAGCAACCACAGGCTTAAATTTGAACGCTGGAGACGCCAGCGTTCTATTGTTAACACTGATTACCATCGGCAATATCATCACATGAGGCGATCTAGTGTGTCCCCCCATGAAATCGTCACGGCCCGGTCTGCTGAAGAAGCGAATTTGAACAGTGTGGAAACCCCATCCCTGCTACTGCTCTGCCTCACCGCCGACAGTTCTTTACTGCCCAGAGCACGATATCAACGCCCAAATAAGAAACAGTATTGCATCATTCAAAATACAACTACAAAGAAGTTTGGCAACCCTGAACAGGTGCCTTGGAAGCGTGCCTCGAGGCAATGGCGCAAGAATTTAGCAACTGACAAGTGAATCTTTTTGTTTTCTTCGACTCTTTGCTTTTGTATAACAATTATATATATGCGATTCAGAGAAATAAATATAATTATTCCACCACTGTTTGTTTGTGATTATAAGTTATTTTTTCAAGGCTTCTGGGCTCTTTATAAAGCTAGAAACCAGGCTGAACTTCAATGAAAGTCTTAAAGTTTATGTATCTTCTAGAAAATTACCTGTTGCTGATAATTAAAACGTGCGGCCAATCAACGGACAAGGTGCCACTGCAAGCACTACAAGCAAATAATGCAGAATATATAATAAAAAATATTTCAAAGTATGTTGCATCCTCTTAACCACTTAGGACCAACTGTGCACTTTTTTCATTGTTCTACTCAATTTTGCAAATCAGGGTGGTTCTTAAAAGACTGGGAAATCTCTTTTGCAACAGTAACAAAAAAACGAACTACGAGTAAATCATTGTATTTATTGTTAGAAACCAATTTCCAAGAAAATCCAAGTTTTATAAACAGTGACAAACAGAGAGCGCGAGAGACAGAATAGACAGCTGAATAGTTTTTTCATACGTGTCCCATTGTAGTAGTCTTCTCTGCAATAAACTTTCGTAACGATCCATGAATGGTGTCTCGAAACATCACGATTCCCTAAACAGCAAAACAAGTCCTGACTTCTTATGTGGTCTCAAAGTTTAACGAACACTATTGTGACCGAATTATGCATCCCACAGACAGGCATCCATCCATCCATTCATCCATCCATCCATCCAGACAGGCAGACAGAATTTTGGTGTACAAAACTGTATGAATCTCCTAGCCATATATATCAATTTTAGCCATCTTTGATACCCCGCTAATAGACATTTATTCGGAAGTCACTGTTCAAAAGAACCGTAAAGACAGATTTTATGACAAAATTTTAGAACGTATTGATGAGGTGGTTGGTGTAGTTCGATGAAAACATTGATGATAAATAACGGTATCGGTTCGGGTATTACTTTTAAATCTTATTTCTATTTCCGATGGATGCCTTGGTTCCAAGGTTTCGTGCATCGTGTAATAACTAGTCAGCGTAGTATTCATTCCGTTTGAATTGATGAGAGTGCAACTTTTACACCAATCCAATGCCCAATACTCCCGGTTCAATAGGTTAGTATAAATTGGAAGGCGAGTAGAGTTCATACAAGATATCTGTCCAGTCGACGTCCGTTAAAATTTGAGACACACAAGAAGAGCAACATACCGCTAACTCAGTTATGAATACTATCACTGTTCAGAAAACATAGTTAACAATTTCTAATCAAATACGTGCTGCCATTTGTAATCGCTAAACTCGAGACCAGGAATGTATCGTGCATGCGTCAGTAATTTGTTTCATTGTTTTTCTTGTGTGCTATCTTACACTTTCAATGTAAAGGTAACGTGTTGGTGAATGCGGGTGCGCTCGCAACCCCGGCTCTATTGGAAGAATGCGGAGGAAGAAGAGAAGGGAGAGGGAGTTAAGACAGGAGATTGGGGGAGGTTCGATGTCTGTGAAGGACGCACATAAAACGTAGGTGTTGGGAGGCGGCTGCGTGTGTTCGGGAGGCTCGTGTTAAGTTCTAAACTAACTCTGTTGGATGGATTAATTGATTACTTCGTGTTTCCGGACGCGTCAACGACAGAGGCAATTAGTCCCGTAAGCGTGGTGATTGTTTTCTCTCGGGAGATGGCGGCCATCTTTCTCCGCTGGATGGTGAGATCCGACGTACACGTCTTCTAGCAGGCTTTCCCCAAACAGATATCTGCCACTAGCGGGGAACTGTCCCAGCCGGGGCAAGCTCGAAGCTCTCGACTAGTCTCCCTACAAGGATAGTAGTGCAGTTTAGAGTTTAGAATAACGTATTCGACATTTGTGAACCGCAAGTGCACCACAATTCTGCTGGGCAGCAGGCACGCTAAAGTTTTGTTTACCTAAAATCAGGAATGATAGAAGGGCCACGCACGATACGAAGTTGTCTTAATTTGATCTTAAATCTGACAATTCAGAAAGTAATGTTTTCTCATGTATTGATATTCCCACCGTTCTTCTTTTTCTTTCTCAGAAAAGGTATGTTTCCGTTTGTTGGGTCAATACGTAAGCTTTAGGCAGGGAAAAGGCACCATGTGCATTACGTGATGTCAACAAACGGAATAGTAATAGACAATAACCGACGCTTAAACGAGTTAGTTCCTCGTTACAAGAATAAACTATATTTTCCATTTCCCGTACGGAAGAACTCCTTTGATATATATGCGCAACTCAATTGAAAAATAAATTTCCTTCGTCCCGGTTGACTTGTGAACGGACATGTTAGCCATGTGGTGTCCCAAAATAATTCAAACAAGTTTTTAAGTGTATGTTAAGAAATTAAGAGCCGTTAATGTAATTTGAATTTTTGCCATATTCGTACTCTCCAATTTCAGAGAGATTTGAAAAAAAAAAGTGTCTATTAGAGAAAATTATTCAAATGAATTGTATTGAATTGAATTATATTTAAAATAAATCTTATAGTTAAAATATTTCTCAAATTTTTGAAAGGTCTCAAAGTTCGGCAGTTCTATCGGAGAAAATCGACTTTTGAAAAAATACTTTGCATAGTTTAGATGCTATTGCTCTTGCACGGTTAACGGATTGCACTAAACCATTATGAATTTTTTTTTAAATTCCCAAGCAGAATAGCAACAAGTTCGGTATCACAGCAGGAGAATACCAAAAAAGGGAAAGTAAAAATCATTTAAAACAAAGAAATGTATATAAAAGTGAAGGCTAAAGAATAATTAAAATGTAAACCTCGAATTGTGTAACCTCTTCCATTTGATTTCGGTTAAAACGTAACCTGGTAAAAATTGCATGATATGTAAAACTTGATTCTTCAAAGTTCATCATATGTGTTTGATACCGAACGTAGAAAACGAACTTTCAATATTTTACCTTCCAAAAATTGGAAGCAGAATTGTATTAAATTTATTACTTTGCTCACGTTGCAAATTCTCTCGACGGCCTTACACACATAAAAGAATATCCCTACCCCAATTATAAAAAAATCTACACGTACTTACGTGGCAAGGGAATGCTTCTCAGTGGATTAAAGTTAAACACATATAATTACCGCCTCCATTCTTGTCCTGAAGTGCCCACACGCTCTCTGTAACGCAGCGCTGTACATATTTGCGAATGTTGCATCGATAGCGGCGCGTAGAGACGCGACATTAGGGTGTCACGACTTATTTGGTAACCTGTTCAACAACTCTCCAAACATAGTAGTGTAGGTGGTTTAAATCCGGGCTATTCGGGGGCCAAAACTCTTTGGACCAGAACATTTCCGCATTGTCTGATAGCAAGTTGTAAACTAAATGGCTCGGGTGAGCCGGTGCACCGTCCTGTTGAAGCATAGTCTTTCGCTACATCAGAAACAGTCGACCTTGGGTGCCCGAAGAATGGAATGATCTCGGTCGCCGAACGCCCAGCGCGAACGCTTTCTATAATCGCGGCTCTTCGATTGTACTCCGCACTTGTACATAGAATCTCGGCCATTTTAAGGTTATGACTGTTTACTAAATACGCCTGGCTTTCAAGGGTGCCAATCGCGACCTCTAGCGGAGCTATGATATGGCGAGAATTTCAAATTGGAATTTGTCCGGATTTAACTGCTGCACCTCTATATATTTTTGAGAAGGCCAAACACTGTAATGAAATTGTGAAATAACATGGATTAAAATCAAAATAATAACGTGCACAGTATGAATGAGAATTGTGTAAATATTTTTGTTATTGAATGCGAATGTGAAGTTAGATTCTTTATTATTGAGTTAAATTGTATTTCTTGTTTTGTGTTATTAATTTTATCCGCAGGAAACTGGCTACGGCGCAGATTAACGCCGCGAAATAAATAAACGGTACAATTGGTTACAGTTCTGAATATATTAGAATCATGTCTTGTTTTTTTGCTTGTTTGTAGATTAAGAAAGATAAATTACCCTCCCATCACTAATGATATAACGATAAATTTCATTTCTCTATCCTATTCAGGAGTGACTTCAGTCCCACGACCCTAATACAAATGTTTCAGTGCTAATACCGCTCATGCCGGAAAGATTAGTATTAAAATGTAGATAAACATAGGTTTTGGATATCAGGTAAAATAAACAATAGGTGTAAAAGTAATTATAATAAAGATGGAAGCACAACGGGACTGTCACAATATTCAGGATTTATCCACATTTTCATAACCACGGTCCAGAAATAAGGGTTTTTGTGTCGAAAATTCACCGTTTTCCGCACGCACATGATTACAATATTACAAAACTTCATCTTCTTGCAAAGTAAGGTTAAGATAGTAAAGCGTCACGAGGCAATGCTTGTCCCTGGAGGCAGGTTGGCGAGCATAACGCCATGGACCCTGCACTGTGAAGAGCAGTGAGAAGGTGCCGGAGAAGAAGTGGCTAACGAGGTGGATTGGGCACGGGACGAAGAGTTAGCAGTGATGCTGGGGCTGCTGTGGTCTTCGTAATAGTCAACACCGTAATGGCCACCACCACCACCACCACCAATATGTATTTCATGATTCATTGCAAACTGTTAGATACCTGCAAGAAATTTTACTGTGTTTCAAATCTTGCAATGTACTTTAATATCTAATAGTTTCATAATTAATTGCACCTGATACATTGTTATGACAAGTTTCATCTTAATTTATAATTTACAATTTCTTTAATGAATGATCCTTTTGACATTCTTGCGTTTATTACTAGTGCGCTGTGATTTCATAACATCTGTTGTTTGTTATTTCCGAGCTTTTGTGACTCGTTTAACTAATTTTTATTTAATGATAGATTATAATCCATATGCCTGTGCATCGTATTTCTGTTTGCTTATTACTGCGTGGCTTATTAGCTCTTTTTATTTAACAAGTTTAATAAATGTTCTCTATCGGCCGTATATTAATTGCACCATAGGTGATTGGCATTAATGTACACTAAGGTAGAGAGGACATATAT